GTTAAGCAACCTTCGCAGTGGTCGATCATTAGATGGGTGACCAAAAAAAAAATCTTGAGCTCCTCCGTGCTTCGGAAGGCACGTTAAGCCGTTGGTTCCGGCTGCATCTGTAGTCGTTAGCACCCGCCAATCCATATTTTATTAGTTATGGCCCAATCTCCCTATCCTATCCATAGGGAAAACCTGTGCCCCAGCAGTGGAGACATTAATAGGCTGATGATGATTGGTGGTGTTGTGTTTCTACTGGTGAGAAGGGTTCCAGGGGTCCGTGTGGTAGAGGATTGAGTTCAGGCCGCCAAGGTGAAGATAGCTGGAGCGGCAGACTTACAGCCGCATCATCTATCTTCGCGACTGAACTCCACTTACACTTAACATCAGGTGGGGTAGGCTTTTTTGCTGTGCTTCGTATAAAAATAAAGATAAAAAAGAAAGAGGGAGAAAGAGAAAGGTATTATACACTACTCGCTTGTGTATGCGACTGTCGCGCCTGCGCACATCTCCTTTAACGGTTTTATTCCACGCACTTTTTTCCACGGATTTTTTCTTACGGTTTTACTATCACATATTTTTCAGTTCGGTCGCGTAGCAAAATCCCTATCCCCTCCAAGCCTGCCGTAAGGAACTTCGTTCCAATAACATGCCACCTATCCTGTGACTGACCATTATCAAAGTTGCTAAATTTTCGTGATCTCAGACCGAATACTTACACAATCACAACTGCGCCAACGAACTCATCAAATTCGATCGTAAACAACAAACCATAAAAAAACGGCAATCAACTCATAATCGAAAATGTAAAGCAAAATTAGATAAAACTTGTTCGAGAATATTAATTTGTTGCTGCCTCTCAATCAGTGATTCAGTCATATTTAAATTTATCTTCTAAATCTACTCTAAATTATACGGAAATAGAGAGTCTACTCCAAACTATAAAATAGTAATATTCAATGAAAAATAAAAATATTATTATTGGTTTATTCCTACACTAAATTTCTACTACACATAGAACCACTCTCTACGGCATGGAAACATTTACATTTACACACTAACATACATATACTCCTCATTTATATACACACACAAAGTTCATCACACATATACACACACGCACATACACACACCACATGCACACCCACACACACAAACTCCCCTACAACTATAGTTTTAGTTTGATGTAAATTCTTCTTTTAGCTTAATCTTGTAACGGTGATGGAAGATCGATGCCTCCTGCTACAGGTATCGCTATACTTAAAAGGAGTGCACCAACAATGTGATTAGATAATAATAGGTTAAGTTAAAGAGAATAAACATATTTTATTTATTTATTTATCTTTAACAAAGTTTCTACTGCGGTTTTTGTGAAATTTAATACAATAAAATATAGATTTAATCTTAAGGCCAATTACAGAAACTCATTACCTACACATTAGATATTAACGGCGTTATTATATGTCAGTAATTATTATATTCAATTTAATTTAATTTTAAAAATTGCATATATATCATATAATTCATTAACATAAAAAATAAAATAAAATTAAGATTGGACAACAACATAACAAAAAGACAGAAAAGAAGAAAAACAAACACTGAATATCCATATAAAAGGGTTTTCAAGAGTTTGTCACATGATAACTTTATGAAGTGTGAGTGGGTGTGTGTGCGCGTATGTATGTGTGTTTGTGTGTGTGTGTGTGTGTGTGTCCATGCAGCTGCAATGCTATGCCTGGTAACGAGATGGCGGACGCCGCAACCCGGGCACTACATCATTTAATAAACATTTGTGCAGTAGCACAATATAATTTCCTAAATTTAGGTTTGCATTGCAATTTTGCTGTTGCTGGGTAGTAATTTTGCAGGTATATGTTTTGCTGTGCATTTAGTACTATTTAGGTTTCCGTACCACAAACTGCACAAGCGGAACCCTATAGGATCACTCAGTTGTATATCTATCACAGTCGATTTGCTCGAAATCTACTGGTCCGACCAAGTTATAAATCTGGTACACATATATATGTATGCGACTCAAACACGAACAAATAAAGTAAATAAATAATTGGTCAGTGCATTCGCCCGGATTGCGAAGGGTGCGGGTTCGAGTCCCGTCTGCTGCCTGGTCCGCGTGGATTTTTTTCTAGTTATATTTTCTTTAGATTTGAACATCAAGCAGTTACATGCTTTAAAAAAAATTAAAAGTAAATAAATTCTCAATATGGTGGCAACTTTGGGGGTGAATTAGAAAATGATATAGAAAAAAAATTTGCTAACTGTAACCTGAATGTGAATGATTCAAACGCAAAATGAATAGTTTAAAAACTATAGTGTCTAAAAATTAAAAATGAAAAGGAATACAGCTCTTTGTCTATAAATTACAGGAAAGTAGTAATTAAAATAAAGTATAGAATATTTAAGGGCTTCCATGAAACAGAAATAAAGATGTGGTTTTTGGTTCTACTACACCAATGGTCAAGAGATGGCGCTGTAGTCTCCTGAATCGCGCTTTGGTTCCGTTATTCCAGATTAATAAATACTTTTGATAGGCCTTCACAATGCAGTCGTTAGCACCCACTAAATAGAGATTCTATTTCTATTTTGTTGGTAAATTTTCTTAATGTGCGGTAAACACAAAAGTAACAGGGTGAAGTTGGTCGCGCGCATCTTAAAATTTCACTCTCATCATTTTTTCATAACGCGCCTAAAGAAGTATAACTTCAATAATTTTTGCCCTTTTTGCTCGATATTATATAATACTAGCTGACTCAGCGAACTTCGTAACCCCCATAAAAAAATAGAGGTTGGTGGTAGAAAGTTGAAAATTTAGGGATGTATGTATTTTTGTATGATGTATCATAAAAAAATTGAAAAAAATATATATCTAAAATTGAAAAAAAAAAATTTAGGGGTGGTTTACCCTTAACATTTAGGGGGATGAAAAATAGATGTTGTCCATTTCTCAGACCTACTCAATATGCACACAAAATTTCATGAGAATCGGGAAAGCCGTTTCGGAGGAGTTTAACCACAAACACCGCGACACGAGAATTTTATATATTAGATAGTGTCCAATGATACGGCACCCTTGCACGAATCTGATGCGCACATAGCCGGGGTTTTTTTGAAGATAATCTATAGTATTTTGTTTCGTAATTTCTAAGTATCATTGTAATAAACCAAAACAATTACTTTCCATCCACACCAGAAAACTCAATTTTAAATTTAAATTTTATCCACAACGGTATAAGATTGGATTGTGTGGAAGAGTTCACATTGTTGAGTATAGTGATAGATAGGCACCACAACTGGAAAACTCACGTACAAAAAACAAAATCTAAACTAAAGAAAATATAACTAGAAAAAATTCCACGCGGACCAGGCAGCAGACGGGACTCGAACCCGCACCCCTCGCAATCCGGGCGAATGCACTGACCAATTATGCTACCGCGGCCCTCACGGGCCGCGTCGAAATTCTTCTAGCCATTTTTATGCTGCAAGGCAGCGCCATCTCTTCGCATTATAGGTAACCCACAATGTCAAATGAATACTTTTACAAGTATTAAACAATTGGAAGAAGAAATAGCAATTATAGTTATAATTTGTATTATTTTAAAGCATGTAACTGCTTGTTGCCTAAATCTACAGAAAATATAACTAGAAAAAATTCCACGCGGACCAGGCAGCAGACGGGACTCGAACCCGCACCCCTCGCAATCCGGGCGAATGCACTGACCATAGTTATATTTTCTTTAGATTTAGACATCAAGCAGTTAAATGCTTTAAAATAATAAAAATTAAAATCTAAACTGTCTAGCTTTTCTTATGCGCTACGCGAGGTAAAAAAGGCGACTGATAGAGAAACAGCTATAGTTACATACTACGCTTACGCCCTTGCTTGACTGTGTTACGGGTTTTTTTTTTGAGTGTGTATGCTGTTGGTCGCAGATGACCTTTACAGCGTCACCGGGTTTGGGGACGGCGAGATCCTAAGGGGACCTCAAGCCGAGAGTTGGCGAGTGCCTCTGGAGGTATTCCAGTCGACGTCTCCCCACGGGGGGAGTCTCCTCTCCGTCTGGAGCCTCCAGACCACTCGAACCTGGATCGGCTTAACTAGAGGGCGTCTCTGAGACTCGGACCTCGGCTCTAGCTAGCCGTTGTCGTGGGGGGCGGGGATGTTACGGGGTGGTGTTGTGGGGTCCGTACTGTTACGGACGTACTTTTGCTGCTTACCATGCAAAAGAAGTTGATCCGTATCATAGCCAACATCGAGCAGACGGAGAGCTGTAGACCATACTTTCAAGAGTATCAGATACTTCCACTACCGTGTTTGTATATTTTGGAAATGTCCAAGTTTGTGCGCAAACATAGCGAATTCTACACTAGACGACAAGACATTCCATCTAGATACACATCTCGACACAACAATAAATTAATATTGCCAAATTCTAGACTAAAACTATCATCATCAAGCACATTTAATTCATCTATTAAAATTTATAACAAATTGCCTAATACAATAATGAATGAAAATAATTACTTGACATTTAAAAATAAATTTAAGGAATTTCTAATTAACAAATGTTATTAGAATGTAAATAAATATTTTAATGATAAGATCAGTAATTATTATTAATGTACGTGTACAAATAATTGATTTAATTATTTATTATATTTTATATTTAATTTTGTGAAATTATTAATATTATTATTTATAATTTAAACAGATAGTGATAATCTAAATAAAAGTCCAATTATAACAATCAAAAATAAACATATGAAACAATCTCTAACATCCAATTATAATTTTACTAATAGTGTTGTTCTTCTGAGAAGCGTATCCTTTCTTCTAATAACCAATTGCGTGCCCGAAGGAGTCCATAATGCTCATATTTATATAAGTACCTACCACCCACTGCACACATTATGGTTGCAATAAATGATTTGAGTTTGAGTAATAACTATGACCACAGAACGCAATGCAATTGATCTGACAATTAAACAGTATCGCCAATGCGTTCGTTGAGAGCTATCGCTTGACAGGTAGTTGTAAGCGCCGATGAGAAAATAATATACTATTGGAAAAAAATCACTGACGCGCGAGGTATAGAGAGCAAACAAAGCGCGGAATTTATATTTAAAAATTTATTTAAAACATCTTTTAGACATTCGGCTGTTGGATTGAGCGAAACGAACCTATCGGGTTTTATTAAAAAAAAACTTTATTTTAAAATCCGAACCGCTTGTTTGTTTTTTTTTTTTTTTAATAAACAGGTCTTGTGCGTTTTAAGTGAGAAGTTTTATAGTGTTTTTAAAATGGGATCGGACGAAGGAAACAGCGCTATAAGGCCAAGTAAGTTTTTCTTGTTATCCTCATTTCTTAAGTGATTATTATTATGATAAGGACGGCTATTGCCAGAGTTAATTTGTTAATGAAATATAAGTAGTAGACGGAAACAATTCAACCGAGCAAATGACATTGGGTTATTTACCTACAAGACGATTAAAGTTATTTCTTTTGTGCTCGTATTTGAGGAAAAACAAACATTGTGTCACAGATTCTTGATTATTTGAGTTCATTCGCTTTAAGGAATTCAACTTTGCTTTCGGTTTGTTTAAGGAATTCAAATTTGCTTGACTTAACAAGAGGCTCAGTGTTAGTCGATCTCAGCGTACATACATCTTATATCATATTATTTTGACGACCTCCGTGGCCGAGTGGTTTTTACGCCGGGTTTCATGGTGTCGCCAACTCGAGAGGTCCTGGGTTCAAATCCCGGTGGGGGCAGATGATTGTGTGATGAATACGAGCATTTGTACTCCAGTCATGGATGTTTAATATGTACAGTATATGTATTCTATCCGTTACCCTAGTATCCCATAACACAAGCCTTATAGTGCTTACTTTGGGGCTAGGCTAATTGGTGTGAGTGTTGGAAATATTCATTTATTTATTTATCATAGCACTAATCGAGTAATCCAAAGCGGCCAAATACCAACCACCGGCTTCGATATAAGATTAACTTCACTTCCTCCTCCTTGTGTCGTGCTCTTCAATGCCGATCGCTTTCCACTTATTGCATTCTTCCGCAGTGTGGAGTGCATCGCGGACTCCAGTTTTGATATTGTCGCGGATCTGGTCTGTCCAGCGCATGGGGCTTCTTCCTCTCGGTCGCCTTCCCTGTACTTTTCCTGTCACCAGGAGCACTTCCAGGGTATCGTTTTTCTTCCTTGCTATGTGACCGAAGAATTCGAGGATCCTATGCAAGCAGAAATTGGACAGCTTAACGGTCACTCCCACTTCTTTAAGAATTGATGCATTTGTGGCTGTCCACGGAACTCGTAACATTCTCCTCCAACACTTAGCTGTATTTTATTAACGTTGCCTCACTTCGATATAAGATTTACAATCTTTTGTTTTATTTTAAAATGTGGCGATCATATTTTATCATAAACTAGCGGCCCGCCCTCGCTTCGCTTCGGTGTAGAGCTGAAGTGTAGACTACAGATTTTGTTCTCAGGCTTGTATTATACACAATGACATTCATCTATGATTCTTCTTATACCTGCATGCAAAGTCTCAGCTCAATCGGTTTAAAATTGACAAAGTTTCATACAAACTTGTATTCCCTATTTTATCCCCTTGGGGGTAGAATTGATCAAAATCCTTTCTCAGCGGATGCCTACGTCATAACATCTACCTGCATGCCACATTTCAGCCCGATCCGTCCAGTGGTTTGGGCTGTGCGTTGATAGATCACTATGTCAGTCCATCACCTTTGAGTTTCATCATTATAATTAGCGGATGGACGTCATCTACTGAACATCAGCATCCTCAAGAGTAGCGCTGCCATTCGTCCGGATAAAGCCGGACAGTATTAGGCTTTTTGATCTCCTGTCCGGGAGACTTTGACTGCGTCATCCGGCCCGTCCGGTTTTCTTTTGAGGCAAGCAAGCCGCACACTTCACTCTACTCGAGTTCGTCCGTCTCGTTGAGACGAGTCGAGTTAAGAAAAACATGCAAAAACTTTCATACAAAATATAGGTAGATATGTATTTTATTTGACTTTATGGTCAAAAAATATTTTTTTGCCGTCCGTTAGGATGTGAGATCTAAAAGTCCGCCTTCTTTATTTTTAGAGATGTCAACGCTACTCAAGGCATTGCCAATCATAACGTTCCTACGCTTTAAGCATCCAATGGGTCCCCACGGCAATGGCAATGGGCAGGCCACATCGCTCGAGGATCTGACAACCGATGGGTAAGAAAGGTCCTCGAGTGGCGGCCACGTACCGGATGACGCAGCGTGGGGCGACCCCCAACAAGGTGGACTGACGACATCGTCAAATGTGCTGGGAGCCGCTGGATGCGGATAGCGCAGGACCGCGCATTGTGGCGTTCTATGAGGGAGGCCTATGTCCAGCAGTGGACTGAGAAAGGCTGATGGATGGATGGATGGGTCCCCACGACTCGCTTGTTGTCGTCAGTCCACCTGGTGCGAGGTCGCCATTGAAGCACTTTGGGACCCCAACGTCACTAGAATGTACTCCGCCTATTGCCGTTTGAGCTTGGCGATCCGTTGAGCTATGTCGGTCATTCTAGTCTTCTACGGATTTCCTCAATCCTGGTTCGATCACGTACAGAAACAGCATAGTGCTCTCCATTTCTCGCTCTATAATATAGTATAATATCGGAGAATGGAGCTCGATGGCGCAAGTGGTTAGCGCGGTCGGCTGCGATCGTTGAAGTTAAGCAACTTCCGTAGTGGGCGGTCATTGGATGAGTGATCAAAAATTGACTATCTCGAGCTCCTCCGTGCTTCGGAAGGCACGTTAAACCGTTGGTCCCGGCTGCATCTACAGTCGTTAGCACTTACCAATCCGCACTGGGCCCGCGTGGTGGGTCATACATGACCCAATCGCGCTATTCCATCCATAGGGAAGGCCTGTACCCCAGCAGTGGGGACATTAACAATGATGGTGATGATGATATCGGAGAATATTAAAAAGTAACTGCGCATAAAACATCTGTACAATAAAAATTGTTTGTTTGTATTGTATTACATAAAAGTGTTTTGTAACATTTATCAATAAGTTAATCTATGTCCGTCATATTATGTCAAAATGTCGAGACCGTTACGAAATAAAAATCTTGACTTTACATACTAAGATATATTGTTTAAGATTATTTTGATTGTATTATTAATCTATACAAGCATGATCCCTGAAAATGTTATCGAATTTCTAAAGATATAGATAAGACGGCACGTTTGATGCCAGAAGATTATGAGACGTGTGTAATACAAACAAGTTAACCCCTGCAAGGAGGCGAATAAATCGAAGCAATAGGTATAATAGGATGGGAATGGCAGGATGCTAGATGGCAAAAACAGAGTAGGAGTACAATAAATATAAATAAATATTTCCACCTCTCACACCAATTAGCCTAGCCCCAAAGTAAGCACTGTAGGCTTATGTTATGGGGCACTAGGGTAACGGATACAATACATATACTGCTACATATATAAGTATCTATATATATAAAACTCAAAGGTGACTGACTGACATAGTGATCTATCAACGCACAGCCCAAACCACTGGACGGATCGAGCTGAAATTTGGCATGTAGGTAGATGTTATGACGTAGACATTCACTAAGAAAGGATTTTGATCAATTCTACCCCCAAGGGGATAAAATAGGGAATGAAAGATTGTATGAAACTTTGTCAATTTTAAACCGATTGGGATGAGACGTTGTATGCAGGTATAAGAAGAATCATAGATGAATGTCAATGTGTATAATACAAGCCTGAGAACAAAAACACTTCAGCTCTACACCGAAGCGAAGCGAGGGTGGGCCGCTAGTATATATATAAAAGTAAAAGCAGCGGGCATTTTCGGAGCAAGCGAAAAATTGTTCTATGAACCCATGTTTAAGTTTGATTCTCTTTGATTCCAAAAATGCCTGCTGGTGTCTTTCTACTTAAGAGCGTACGCGAGCTGAGAGAGTTTTGAGAATTAGGTACTTGAAAAAACTATCGCGGTCACGCATTAGCAAATACCGTGCGACAGAGACAACATTAGTTAACGCTGAAAATTGCCTATAAAATTTGCCAAATTCGAGGTTTGGAAATATTTCCTCCTCGAAAATTAAACATATCTAAAAGACACCACTCAACTAAATCCTTACAAAAGGCTCATTTAATAGATATCTCACTTGACATAGTTAATCTTAATAGTACTATGAGGCGGAAGGGTCGACTTAAGAGCCCGCGCCCCCACTCTGGTTGTATGAAACAAAGCAATATTATTGGTCCTCGTGGATTTTTTTTCTAGTAATATATTCTTTAGATTCAAACATCGAGCAGTTAGATGCTTAACAATCAAAAATTATAAAGCAATATTACTTATTTTATTTATTTATTTTCATTCATTTTTTTCAAACATACAGTTTTACACAAATCAATTAAGTAACACTTAATACTTTTTCATAAACCGTTAAGTTTAGTTTCCACAGACTGAAACATTTATACACTTATATAATTTACTTAAGATTACGTACAATATTTAGAGTTATGCGAATAAAAGAAAATAATTACTAAGTGTTAGGGTAAAACGACCTTATAGCATTCATGTCTAAATTGATTGTAAGAAAGGCAAAATATATCCAATCCCCTGAAGTATTTATTATAGCTGTGTCATTCTCTAGAAATGAAACTATTTGCAGCAAACTTAGTCCTGCTGAATTGTATTACAAACGTGTTGTCAGACCTAGTTCTATTTGGATAACGGAATCCAATCTTTTAGAATCTTTTTGAAGTTTGTAAAGAAACAATTGACCTCTAACAATTTTGCGATGTTGCAAGGATGTAAACTGTAATTTTGCTTCACAATCATTAATAATCAAATTAACATTAATTCTGTTTTGTAAGTACTTTACAAATTTGTGTCGAATTCTTTCAATAGCATCAATGTATGTATTATACTGTGGATTCCATACACAAGAGGCATATTCAAGGGTATAAATATATAAATTACTTATTACAACTGTTCTGCTATGATACAAGAGTGTTGTTCCACAACTTCAAAGTCGTCGATCCGATCATGTCAATGTTTCTATTGAACAATCACGGGAAAAATTTCAAAATTATTGAAGTTATACTTCTTTAGGCGCGTTATGAAAAAATGATGAGAGTGAAATTTTAAGATGCGCGCGCATCACTGTAACACAAAATTTTAACAGCATGAAGTTGGCTTTAGCGACCAACTTCATGCTGTTACTTTTGAGTTTACCGCACATTAAGAAAATCTACCAACAAAAGAGAAATAGAATCTCTATTTAGTGGGTGCTAAC